TGAGCCTTGGGGTACTCCATGAAAAGTGTACATCAAAGTTTGACATCGACGAGCTCGTCGAAGCATTGTATAAGCACAAGCATAACTTACTGTCACTTGTGACCACTATTGAGAGGTTGTTAGTGACAAATCCAAACGATCTGGGATATATGAACAAAGATGGTGCGACCTCGCGCTCTCCTTTCACTGTATAGAAGTGGTGTTATCTCGTTTTCGCAACTTGATCGACTTTTCATGTAGGCCTCGATCAACGCACCTTGTCCGGAGTCTTCTAATACAGTAATGCTGATATGTTCCAGTGTCGGACAAAGTCCAGGGTGCAATACTGGAAACTAGCATAGCTACTATAGCAGGGGACTCTGGACGGGATATGTTCATCAAGGTGACCCTAAAAAGGTAACCAAGTTGTAAGAACAAGATCAAACCAATTTTATATATTGATGTGTTGATGAGGAATCGAGACACCCTAGGACACTCAATGTTGGTGTGAAATGATTGGAAAGGCTCAATTGAGTTAAGGCTTGAATCTAAGAAGATTTATTATTCGATTCTAGACTGGAACTCGCCTTGGTCTCGTCAGCATCTCAGACAAGATTTGAAACTATATTATGCTCGGTGGCGGTATCCCTCTACAAGACGACAGATGTCAGTTGGCAATAGAGCAGATCTAGCTTTCAAGGCTTTGTTTGCTTTTTAATTTCATAGTAAAAAATTGCAGCTATTGGATCTTCCATCCTTTCGATTGATTTAAAGTTTCTAAAGCTATATTAAATACAATTCAAAGTTAATAACATAAAACATGCCTCGTAATCATAGTAATACGACATATCACATTAAACCCTTACAACAATCTATTAGAAATTAGAAAATAAAAATACTAAATAAAGTAAATTTGAACACAAAAGTGTGCAAATGTTGAAATTTTGCCTACCTGCAGCGTAAGAATGTTTCTGAAACTGGTCACCAGGAAAAGGATTTCGACTCTGTAGCTCTGATTGATAAGGTGGTACTCCTTGGAGGCAGGATTCAGCAGGAAGACACGGTTTGCCAGTGACCTCGTGACCTGACCGAAGCAGACTATCAGGAGTCCCAGATGCTGCAATGAAGCTGGGCGGGTGGTTAAATGGCGGCATAAAAGATGAAGGCGCAGAGAGGACATTGGAAGACCCAGAAGCTTCAAGTAAATGTGATGGAGCTTGAGTGAGTGATCCTAACGAGTGCACGGATGATGATGATAGCGGCGGATGGGACGAGGGAGGCGAATGTGGAGTAGCGAGGTGGCATGAAGGTGAGAGAACACAATTTGAATCGAAAGGCTGAATTACAGAGTTTGCTAGGAGCTGCTGATTTGCCAGGCTTGTACATGCTACAGGGGGTGGAATAGCTGGAGAGCGCATCCATGAAGGATTTGTCGAGGGAGTTGAGGCTGAAGAGAAAGCTGGGGATAAAGTTGTTAGAATGCTGCCAGTCACGCCCAGTGATCCTGAGGGACAACTTTTGAAGGAAGAAGGAGGAGGAGTAAAAACTGAAGATTCTTCCTGTGACTGCGAGAGTAAAAGGGTGGTCGAAAGAGGTGCAGTCACACTAGAACCGGCCGAGTGTGGGCTACAATTTTTCGAATTGGATGGTTGAATATTTTCCTGTGGGAAATCTGGACGCCTAAGGAAGGAATTCAAGGGCAAAGACTGAGTGTTATGATTATCGGGTAAGAGAGTTTGAGACCCGCTTGGAGCAGAAGCAGAAGATGAGCCAAGATCCAAGCATGTCTGTGCCACTTGGATACTTGATTCAGCAAAGTTAATTTCATATGGACTGGAAACAAAACACTTATCATGTGATATGGTGCAATCACCTGCGCGACTGAGGGAGAGATCAGACATATGTTTCTCTAGTTCAGGCTGGACCAGTCGAGTGGAATCTCGAGTATGGTGTTGCGTGGAAGGGCACAATTGGGCTAAAAATAACAGAAACAAGTGATAAAAAGAGATGTAGAAATAAAGCAAAAAAGGGAGGGAGTTGGTGGTTGCGTTAAGAAAAATACCTGATATTTTTTTTTGGATATCAGGTAGGCTGTAGCCTTGTTGTTTGGGCTCGAAAATAACTCGAAGAAGAAAGAGCGCAAAGTCTTCTGAATTCCAGTAAACCGAATGGCTGGTCATGGCAAACATGTAATCGCTTAAACTCTCCAGTGGTCCCTCCTGAGGTAAAATAGAACACAGTTAAGAATAGTAAGAACGAAGAAAGGTGTAAGTTAATGTCATATGAATAGTAAACAAATATATTATTAAAAATGTAAAAACCTCTATTATTAGGAGAAAAAGACTAAATAGCGACCTTGAAGTCTCAAATGGAATTTATGATAGAGACTCACAAGAATGGCCAATAATTAGCACAATATATGGAGATGGTAACACAAGAGTATGCGAGTATACTATTTTCACAAATACCATAAGTGAGTAGAAGAAGTGTGTACTCTCGTCAAGGGAAACTAGCAAAGAAAGCCACATAAAGAAAAAGGCATTAAATGAAATGATAAGCAAATAAGCGATTTTTGTAAATCTAATGACGAAAAAAATCATAAGAAATAAGGGAAAAGGGACACAGAAGAAACCAAATGAGATAAAATTAACTGAAAATTGAGGAACTTAATAAAAAATGCAGGGCGCAAATTTAAATTAAAAAGTGGTGTAGTCAAGGCTAAAGGAAAACAATAGATGCATAGGAAGATATCCGACAAGACCGTCACACCTGTATAAGATCATGCAAATAATATGATAAAATAGCGTATTTTACAGGCTTTATTGTAAATATTCCGTGACGATTGTATTTAGAATGAAGTGATGGAGAAGGAGCATACAGGAAATCATTTACATGGAAATGAATAAAGCAAAGAATAAAAGAACGATAGAATAAGGATTTCCAGTTTCAGGGTGTTGAAGATTGACCGTAAACAATCATATTTTTTTAACCAGATTTTTAATACAATCTAGTGGTAACATTGTTAGGGGGACTTTCATTTCGTATAAAAGTGAATGAAGAACAGATTTGTTGGTCGATTTCACAAGATGAGGACTGCAGCCGTTTGGCTTTTATATGATATTCATGTTGACACAGTCGAAAAAAAGGCGACTCAATTTGTCTGCTCAGTGATGGTTATAATTTCACTCACGCTCGTCCAACATGTTCGATTAAGATCATCAACCAAACCAGACATGTCAGATTACGCAACCCCAGTCTTGCCTTTCCTTGGAGAGTTAAACGTTAATGACTGAAAGGTTAGGACAAGTGGTTTCGTGACTTGATTGTCATGCTTACAAGCTCATATCTCAACAATACTTGTTTGCAGACTTAGGCAGTCTCGGTATAGGCTTTCTCTTGGGTCATTAGGTCTTGAGGAACATAACCTGAGATCAAATTTTTGACAACTCTGATTTAGGAACTGTATTGCATATAAACGCTAACATGCACACATACACATACGCATACACTATAGCAAAATTAGCAGGACCAGTATGAGATATTATTAGCCAAACCATTCTATATCTATCTAGGTTTTTTGTTTTCTTTTGACTCAAATGAGTCCATATAAGAGGTAGGCTAGAGCCGGATAGTCTTCTTGCCTTAGTGTTAACGTAAGACTCTTACAAAAATGGCATCCAGCTATGATAATGCCCATCAGATGATGGACGAAAGTTCAGCACGTTTTCACCTGAAACGAGGGAATAAGTCTCGTGGACTGCGTCAACATGAATATCGTATAAAAGCCAGACGGCTGCAGTACAACGAGATTAATCTGTCCTCATCTGGTGAGATCGAACAACGAATCTCTTCTTCATTCACTTTTATACGAAATGAAAGCCTCTCTAACAATGCAGAATTTATGTTGCGGTAGAGGTCACAACGATCAAGTTCGTTCACTATAGTGAGAAATCAAGACAGCATTTATTTTTATTATAAAGCAGACAGATGAACTTCCCACAATGATAGGAGAAGAAGGCTAGTCAGTTTTAATTTGGATTGATTTCCAAAAGGATTTCTTATTCACCGTGGCATCTTGAAGCGTAGTACTCATCTAATTGTGGTAACGTCTTCTAGCAGTTCCAATACCATATGACACGGCCTAGGGTGACTCGAATTCTTAGTCAAGATCTTTTCATATTTTCTATATGTATGCATGTGGCATACGCACTGGAGTAGCTAAGTTACCTAAAATTCTTTCGTTGTAACTGATCTCAGATTCTATCTTTTAGGCGCTATCATACGAAATTACAATATAAGCACATTAATTCACGAGGGTATATGTTTCAATTCTTCCATTAAGCGCAGTTTCATTTAAATTAGTGTCCTTTACCCAATATATGCTCAAGATCGTCGTGATACAACTATATATTCCAACTTTTTATCCGAAAATAGAAAGGACAGAAGGGAGTGTCCATAGAGCTGAAATATAATAATAAGTAGCACCTAAGCTTGTTTCCGCTTTGAGCTATCACAAAACTAGATGAAAGAAGATAAAAATTCTGCTCTTGATGGTAGAGGTCTTATTCAAGTGAACCTAACATACACTGACATTTTAATCCGGAATATTGCCTTCATAAAGAAGATGGTCTGAAATTATTAAGTATAAACACAAAAAATGCATATCCTGCTATAAGAATTCTTAAAATAAATATCATCTAAAAGTATAAGACGTTGTTCATACGGTATTCTGGCATACACTGAGCTTGAAAGAAGTATACCGAAGATATAACTATAAAAATGGATAAAAATAGTCCCTTACCTGAAGAACATAGTCGATACGTTGGTTTTGATTCAATTTAGATGAAAAGCTGTGCTTGACTTCCGCATCTATGCAGCCAGATGTAGGGCTTTCGGCGTCAGCTCTTGTAACTGAATCGGTCAAACGACTTAGAGTTTGCTTTAAGGCTGAATCTAGTTGCTTTTCGGTCAATGACTGATTCTCCTCGCAATTTGTGTCCTCCATTCCAGAGAGAACTTCTAAAGACTTGCTGGTCTGGGGGCTGGGGAGGTAGAATGTAACAATTTATAATTTGAAAATATATATGTGAATATGGTAAAAGAGCTGCGAGAGCAGAGTACACCAAATGAAGTTGTAAAAATAAAGCAGTCAAAGGCTTAGCAAAAATTAGAGGTCTTAGCAAACCCGTGGAATTTAGATCTAACAAGGTTCGAGACTAAAGCATAGATATATGAGTTGTATTCACCCAATTTCATTTAAGGTTATAAAGGACTTTTATGAGAATTTTGCCACAATGCTATGAGTAGAGCTGAGGTTTCCATTACATTTCGCATAGCCTTGCTCTCCCAAAAGTTGTTTTCATCCCGGCTGAAGTGGACAGCAGTTTCGACCTCGCATCGGTCTTATCAACACCCCCAGCGGGAGTCGAACCGTGACAGTGCAGCATGTGAGCTTGACACGTCAGCCACTCATCCACATTGCTACGAGTGTCGTAGGAGGACAGTGCATATGTGCATTTCGAGGAAGGCGAGGCCTTTTCCCATATCACATTCTTTGGTGGGATTGGCGATGAAACAAACGTATTTTTACTATAGCAATCGACTACATGACTTATTTTTCATATAAAGGTAGAGTTTCGAGACTACCAGTAAATCAGTTATATGAGATGTA